AAAATGGAAATAGTTTGCATGTTGTGCTTGCTGCTCAAAGGCTCCTGACTTAAGTGCACTTAAGTAAGTCAGCACCTTGGGCACTGATTTACTGGTACATGACTATGTAGTAGTGCCATGTCTCTAAGACGTGGATAGGGCAGCATAACATACAATTTGGTACCTTAATATACTGTTAAAGTGATAATAAAAAAATATTTTTATAGCAGAAAACATCCATTGGATTCTGGCCTTCATATAGAATGGAAAATGCTAACCCTTCCATTGTGATGAAATAGATATCAACAGATTATTTATAGTCAGTCTGCTAAGGTGTAAGACAAGTATAAAGCAATCTAAAGAGCTCTGGTTATCTTAGTGAACTCTGCAGATCTATACTGAAACAAAAATTGTAAAGAACTTAAAAATTGATTATGTCAAAATGGGCATTTGGAGGTAATACAGTGTGGACACTATTACTTATAAAAATAGAACTCGTAAACACAAAGTGAAATTTTCATGGAATTTGGGGTTTGTTGAACTTAAGAATTTTGCTTCAGAATTTAAGTGCATTTAATGATGAGGATCATTCACACCTTTGGTGAAATTGTAGTGAACAGTGATCATGCAATCAATATGTAGTCAACATGTAGAAACACACACTTGCATTATTGACTGCTGAATGAATTTTCCTTGAAATTTTCAAGATTCAAGTTAGTTTACCATGCCTTGTTCCTGCTCAGAAAGTTTGTTTTTCTTGTTTTGTTTCGTTCCACAAGGGATGACATGCCTGCAGCTCTGGAAGCTTTAACCACTTGTTACAAGAAGTATGGAAAAATTCTTCAGCTTCATAACATCTACTGTAGACTGGTAGAAAAAGGAGATGCTGATCTTCTGCAGAAGGGTTAGTTGCATGTCATCAGATGCTCTCTGGTTATATGAAGTGTTTTCTGGTGGCTTTTTTCCCAGGTTTTATATATAATTCCTTTCAGATGAAGGAAAAAAAATTGTTTGCATTTATATGTGTAACTTTAAAGCAGTTTAATGATGCTTACATTCTTCAGACTCAAAAATTGATTTTAGTTTTAAATGTAGAATAACCTTAATGTTTTTGTAATACAGCATTGAGCTCTGCAAGATTAGTGCTAATACTTGTTTTAGCTATGTATGTTACTATTAAGAAACAAATTAATAGTAAAACAGCACAATAGTAAAACAACACATCTGGTTTTCAAATAGTTGTGCGGTTCAGAAATCCTATAGCCTCACTTTCTACAAGCAGAGCATGCCAATATATAATCTGTTTTGTTAAATGTAATTCAAAATATAGTGCAGATAAGCAGAAAAACATTTTCAATATACTCAACCCCAAAGCTGCAACAAATTGTGTCATATCTCGTAATCATTCTGTATGTTTCAAAATTTATCTCCCCATAGCTTATTCTTGGAGTTGGTGATGCTTGGAAAATACTGGTATTAGGAATGTCTGACATAGATATTGAAATGCTTCGATGTATTTAGTAAATTAATGAGTTTTATTCTCTCTCTAGTTTCAGATTTTATAAGCAGAGAATATGGTGACATGATGGCTCTTTATGATCTCTTCTTCGCCTTCTTGCAAACAGGAAAATACAAAGAGGCCAGGAAGGTCATTGAGGTGGGATCTTAACTATAGTACTCTAATCGTGCAGCTATTTAGACTCTTAATTAGAAACATTTAAAGTTTTTAACCTTTAATTAGACTTGTTCTGATTCATGTTAATAGAATTCAATCCCGGTAATAAAAAATCTCGGCCAGCTTTATTTTGTATAATTACAGTTCAGAAGAGAGACAGTCGTCTTGTATATTGAAATTGTTTCCTCACTTTTTCATATTTGCTCTTATATATCAAAATGATATTTGCATATTAAATATCGGATTGTAGAACAATTAAATTAAACTGGCA